GGGTACATCTGACAGCTTCCAGTCCTACCCGACATTCACCTCTTGTGCTGACCCTGAATTCCAGCTACCTTAGTCTCCCTAGGACAAGGTCACTGTTGCCTTCACATTTTGCTTATGATGACATTGCTGCCCCATATCCCTAGAAGAAATACTGCCTACCTTTTGATATCACATCAAATACTCCTTTCTTTAGCTTTACCTCATTACTCCTGTATAAATTTACACCTGCCATTTTTAATGCATATGGCACTTTGTACCATGCCTAGAACACATGTTACTTTTTCTCATTTGTGCTTGTACCTTATTTTCCATATTCAATTGGAAGTTTTTGATCTTTGTACGACCCTAAATACCTAAATAAAATACAGACAGTATTATTTATGGTGTGAATAAATATCAGCATCTCAAAGTCCTGTTGGTTGAATAAAGACAGGCATTTTAAATATTTGGAAACTTCAAAATGATGATGTACAGTTGGTTTGAAGGATAAGGTGGAATAAAAACTGATTATAAGTAATATCTAATTTACTGTCTAATACACAGCTCACACAATTGATTAAATGAATGAACGAACAAATGTTCCAAGACACATACAGATGCTAGCCGACCTGTAAATCAGCAGAAGGTATTCATCATGTCCAGAGAAAGGTCTCTTTACACCTTAAACAGTGAAATGAGTAAGAAAAACTACAATGCACTAAGGTAAGAATACAACTGACTGTCTTCTGAAAATCAATTAAAATATTTTATAATATAAAATATCTGTTCACTTAATTTTTAAGTATATTCTACTGAGACTTAAATACTCATTTGTTTTTAAATGTTATTCAATATCACCATATAGACCTGCGTTCAAATCCTGCCTCTGTCCCATATAGGATTCTGTAATCTTTTAAACTTTAGTCTCCTCATCTGTAAGACGTAGATTAAAAATAACCACATCGAAAGGTATTACAAAGATTAAATGAGATTATATGGTAAAGTGCATAGCACAGTATATCTGGCATATAGTATATATTTAATAAATGGTTGTTACTTCAAGTCAAATCATAGCTACTTCAAGAGATAGATTCTTATACTCTAAAGCTGTGTTAATATGGTAGCCACCAGCCACATATGCTGACTGAACACTTGAAATGCTCATAGCCTGAATTGAGATGGGGTATAAAAAACACACTAGATTTTTAAGAAGTAAATATCTCATTAATACTTTAAAAATATTGATTACATGTTAAAATGACATTTTGGATATATTGTGTTAAATAAAATATATTATTAAATAAATTTAATGTGTTTCTTTTTGCTTTTTAAAATGTAAATACTAGAAAATTTAAAATTCTATATGTGACTTGTATTATTTCTATTGGGCAGCACTGATCTAGAGTCTCTGGTCAAGGACAGAATTAGGTATACAGATGCTCAACTAATGTTTGATTGGTTGATGGGTTCATTTTATTACAAATGGGCACAATATAAAGAATTAAGCGACTATTTTTTAAAAAAATGCACTTACATCTAGACAGATTTTCAGGTTAAGTTATTAGAGATATACCTATTCATATTCACTCAGTAAGTTTTTGGTAATTTCCTCCTGCAAATCTGTGGCTTTAAGTGCTGAAGCAGAGTTCTTCAAACAGAGCCTTAGTGAAATTGTGCAACTAAGAATGGGGATGACTTTTCAGTGACTTAAGAAACTTGATTGCTGAAATTAACCTTGGCAAATGACAATGAATCACAAGTTATTGGTAGGCCCAACTGTGTTGCCAAATTTCATGGACAAATCAGGATCACTGATGCTCTCTGGCTTCTGGATTTCCCTACTTTTTGTAGCATATCTAACCCAAAGTCTTCTAGGAAACAAAAGATAGGGCAGAAGCTATGGGATTATACTGTTTTTATAAGACACACTGGCTAACTCCAGGGACCACTTGGTTTTCCATTAAGCACAAATCAAACGTCTCTGATGATTTTCAACACTGGCAGAATTGGAGCCAGACAATACCCTATAAATGTATTATTCCTTTTCCCAGTGGGATTTGTAGCAAACAAGGTCTCTCAAAAAAGTGTCTGGATTGGTCCTATTATCAACTTTAGTGGGAGTGGGAAGAAGGGCTTGAATTTGGTTGTCTGAATTGTTTAATAATGCACCAGGGTGCTTCCTCTCTTTTCTCCCCAGCATCTCTTGACCCCTCACCAACTACTAATACCACCGCCACCACCATTTATTTAGTGCTTACTATCTGCCAGGAGCTCTTCTCAATATTTTATATCTGTTATTACCTCACTGAATATTCAAAGCATTCTTTGAACTAGATGCTACTTCTATCCTGATTTTAAAGGTGAGGAAACTGAGGTACAGAGTGGCTAAGTAAGTTGTTCACCGTTATACAGCTAGTAAGCAGAGCAGCTAGAAAGAGAAAGGAAGTCTGCTTGTCTTGGTGCTCATGGCACTAGACTGCAGGAGAAGATTCTGACCAGTCTACATCACAGAAGAGAACAGATCTACTTGGCCAGGGCAAGCCTGGACCTGCAGGTTAGTCCTTAAACTGCTCTGGCACTAGAGTTTGACTTCCAAGCTATTGTGGCCTTTGACTGTCAAAGGACTATAATGGATTATGGTGCTTTCCTGAGTGCTGAAAGCTAGTTATTAGTCATAGGCTATTTAGGGTATCGTTCGAAAAGTTTTGCAACATATAATATCGTTCATTGGTTTGAACGAGGTTATGTATATCATTTAGTAAGCATAAATAATGTTTATTTAATAATGCTTATTAGATATTTTTAAATTGTATTGTGCTTTTGGGTACTTTTTGGTGCTCAAGGACATGGAAAAGTTTAAGTATTACACTTTGCAATTTCTTTTCCACTATTTTTCCTGCAAACTTCTGCCCTCCAGGGAGCCCCCTAGTGTTTATTCAGCTTTGGAGACTGGCTCAGGTTTGTGAAGGCCTAGGGTGGAGAGAAAATGGCAACAGAGGGAAAGCAAGAATGTGAACAAAAAAGAAAACTATAGATACACTATTTTATCGGATTACATGTGCTTCTTCATTCTGAGTATGAAGTACAGGAGGGCCATTGGCTAAGCTCAGCTAAACTCTGAGTGAGATCTGCACAAATGCCTCTAACTTTTTAAAAGCAACAGTCTGACTGATTATTCTCTCTGCAGTTAGAAGGAGCAGGAGATAACAAAGGAAATATCCTTTCTCTGCTCAAACATCTCATACCCTAATGAAAGAAGGGAGAAGCACCAATTAAATACCTGCATGTCCTTCATGGCTGAAGATAATGATATTAAAGACTTGATAAATAGAATTGTCATTACAGTTTCCAAATTCACCATAGGCTCATGGAATATTTGAATGGGCTAACTTATTAGAAATTTTCTAATTTCCTCATGTTTTATATGAGGAAACTGAAGCCCAGAGAAGTGTGTTAAAGATCTGTTTTTCATAATCCCACTTCCTTTGGACTTTCTATTGCAAGTTTACTTGATTTTTCTTTGAACTAAGTTTCCTGGTTCTTTCAGTGTTAATTTCAAGTTATTTCCAGAGCACAGAATATTGTCAAGTATTACCTTCAACATATCCATAATATGACAGCTATGATCAGGTGATAAAGGCACTCTTAAGTTAGAAGTAATTATCCCTTACTATATAATTATAAGCAGAATCCTTATTCTAGAATTTTTATTATTTTATTATTTTTATTTTTTGCCTGTTAAAGAAAAGCAAGTAATCAAGAGATGCTGGTCTTTTTTCTCTAAGGATTGATTTACTTGCCGACTATAACAACTAAAAATAGATATACACATACAAATAGATGGCATTTTTATTTTGTTTAGGCAGATTATACTTAGAATACTTGTCAGGGTTCAATGAACCTTAGAGATCTTCAAACAAGCTAATAAGTAGTTGGCCAAAATTTCAGATATAGAATTACCAGGTGTATAGCACTGGGCAGTCTGGTATTCTTGTTTCCTGTTCCGCAAAATTAAAAACATGCTGGGGCAATGAGACTGTTATTTATTGTGCACTGGGTGGTTACATGGGTGTATACATAATAAAAACTCATTGAGCTGTACACTCAAGATTTGTGCACTTTACTGTATATAAATTACAACTAAAAAATAAAAATAAAAAAATAAATTGCGAAAGACTAAAAACAAACAAAACTTGGAAATGAAATTGATCTTTTTTATTTGATTTCAGATTTGCTTTATCTTAATTACTGACTGGTACTTAAGAGTGACTTGACACACTTTTGTTGTTGTTTCTGAGTGTTTACCTTTCAGTAAACTGTTACTTTAAAAGATCCCGGGATCTTGTAAGGCGAGAAAGCCTTCAACTTACCCGTTTGCAAGATGGTGTAGTAATTTTGTCCAAAATTTTGTATAACACACGAGGCGGCCTCTAGGGCTGCGGGATACATACCGAGAATTTTTCCTTCACTTCACAATCCTCCGCGGCCTTATATTCTTATGGGGCACTTCAGGCAACGGTATTCAAGAGCAAATGGGTCGCTGAACTAAAGAACTTTTCGCAAGGATGCCATGATTTTATTCTCAATCCCAGATTCTCAAAATTCACTTTATTTCTTCCCTTGGATGCTGCTTAAGAAAGAGCTCCAGCACACCTGAGTTGAATATTATTTTAAAAACTATTTCCTTCCATGTTTTCATCTCCTTGCGTTCTAAAGCCCTATTCGCTGAGGTTGAGCGTTTCAGTCGAACCGTCTAGCTCGGTTTGTTCCGTCTTGGGCGGGTACGGGTACAGCTGATTGGAAAAAACCCTCCGAACATCCGGAAACGGGGAAGACTACGACTCCCAGAACGCATCGCTTCCCGGTCTCGTCCTCCTTCTGCTGCCCAATGACCAGGCTCTACGAGCCCTTCTTCGGCCCCATTGGTCAGCTTTCCCGTCAGTAAAGGTGGAAAGGGCGGGGAGAAACGGGGCGCCCCGGAAGACACATTTCCCGCCACCGCTAGGCGCGGCTAGTAAACGCGAAGAAGACATAGCTCTAGATTGAACAGTATTTAGGGAAGCGGAGCCAGCCAATCAGACTGTGCATATCCTCCCAGAGACCCCGCCTCTTCCTCTGGGTAACTTTTGCTGGCGGGAAAAGTTCGGAAGTTTTCGCGCCGGGCCTGGTTCATCTGAGACCGTCCGCGGGGCTCTGAAGCAGGTAGTTCCGAGTTGACAAGCATGGCGGGGACCGTGGTGCTGGACGATGTGGAGCTGCGGGAGGCGCAGAGAGATTACCTGGACTTCTTGGATGACGAGGTGAGAGAGGCTCTGGGTCGCGAGGTGCTGGAGCTTGGAGTCTGGGGTGGCGGACCGGCCGAGGGAGGCCACGCGGGCCTCCGCTCCACGCCGAGC